GCCTCGACGAAACATTTGTGGGGTTGTGCCGATACAGTCCCCATTCGCACATTTGTACATAGCTTGTATGCTGCTTAGATATCGATAATTAAAAGTTGCAAGTGTCTAAGCGACATTTATGTCGTAAATGAGTGTTATACATATGTATGTATTTGGAATCAGCAGAATTTTCTAAACTAGCATATATTCAGAATATTTATTTATGTGAAAAGAATATTATATATACTTAATCGAAAAGATACCCGTTTCTACATGCTACGGTGTGACCAGCAGCGAATACTTGTCAGGTAAAACATGAAAACCAGCAAATTGCAGAGGTTTTTACCTTTTCGTCGACATAGATTAAGCAATTATTGTTTTATCTGAAATATGTTTTGTGTTCAAGAATAAAGTTCTTTTTTATTATTTTTATTATCGTTTATTGCAACCATGGTATAGATAAGTTGTTACAAGCAAATAATAGTATCAGGGTATAGCAAATTGTACTTAAATCAAGTTCGTATTATAATAATTTGTAATATTAATTTCCACCATAGAAATGTATGTTTCAATCAGGTATTAAATATAAACAGGTTATTATCCATCAAGATCATTATCCTAAATGAAATGAAGGGCTGATTTCTAAAGTAGGGGATTCAAATTTGAAGAAAATGGCTATTTTTAATTCATCTCTTTCAGAATTTGCGCAAGTTTGCAAACTTGCGCAAACTTGAAAAGCGCTGGACAATTTCAAACGTTACTTAGCCGTCACTTTTAAACGTTCAATATGATTTATTTACACTGCATATTTATTTTATATTAATTTATTCACGTTATGTTTTATAAATTTCTTTGATTATTTTATGGTGTCCACTTTTTTACTATGATCTCTGTCCTGAAGCAAACAATTGTTATTATTAGTATTTAAAAAAAGATGCAACGTTAAGTTTATTATTATTACCGTTGCAACTTACTTATTTTACTTTATTATTGCCCTGTAATACCTGCTACAACAACATGCTACATCACATGTGTTCTGAAAGTTACCCAATCAAAATGTCAATTTCCCAAGTGACGTCCAAATCACCACTAAGTTTTATTACTTCTAGAATATAATTACAAATTCATCAAATCTTGTGAAATCTGCGCACCGGCGACCTTCCGCGTTACAGAGAGCTAAATCAAAACAAACCAACCGGAAACCGAAGCTTACGCAAATCTTATTATTTAAAGCGCTGAAATCGTACAATAATACATTGTTCACCGAGGGGAGAAAGTGACCGACTACCAACGAGTGTGTAGTTTGAGCCATGAAACACATGAGTTGGAAATCGTACTGTATTCCGATACATAATGCTTTATCCTACACCTACGAATAATAAACTTACTCTTTATTAATAACTTTACATTATTGTACTTTTTAACATAGAATACAAAGACCACAACATATTTTTGCGCTTTTTCACTAAAATAAGACAGCGAGAAATGGAAAAAGGAGGCGCATTTTTCTCAATTTTCCAATGTAAAAAGTCTTCATATGTATTTATTTCTGAATTTCTCAGGCAATAAATTCTCAAGAACTGTTTGTACAGTTTCATTCAAGTTTTTGACTTTCACTCGACGACAGTTTGAGTAAAATCAACACAAATTGGAAAATGCAAGCAATCCCCGCACGCGCGTTTTTATCTTGGTTATTTTTTAAATTATTGATCAGAAATGGTTAAGAGGCCAATAACATTGGCGAACTTGGAGTAAAAACTTTTTATGATACTGGTTACCATGGTGACAGGCCCCCGATATTACACAAAATTTAAGAAAAATCAGCACATAGGTTTTTTCCTCCTGCTCAGAGCTTTAGAAATGGATTTTCATACACTTTTTCCTCCCGCATTTTATTACTCCTTTCTGAGCTATGTTTAGAAGAGTACCTACGTAATAAACTACTTTCCGGCACATCCTTTCAGAGCAGGTGTAGTATAAAAACTTTTTTGGTCACCAAACGTTGCGACACGAGGCGCCTTCTATTGTGAAAGTCTCCACGTCTCCACTGACGATGACAACGACAACACTGTGACAACCACAGACGCGACAACTAACGACTAGACGACCACCGTAAGTAACACGTAAGTACTACTTACTACATTTAAATTGTACCAGGTCGGAACGCAAAGAAATATAACAAAAATCCATCGCATACCTTTAGTAATGTACTGTACAGATCGACTATCTGATCGGTATAATTTATGAATTAGTTCCAGTTTTGCAAATGCGACTAACATCACTTCTTTGATCTTCTTTAAATATATACTAATCGCAGTATTTAAAATCCCTTTGGGTACACTACGAGATACTATGTACACTACGAGCCACTGCTAGTGACCCCTTTTATTACTAAAAGGGGACGACATTTAAAATTTTCTGCAGTACACTACATACGTAAAAGGGCACAGCTGGGTGTTCGAAGAATAGATTTAAACGTAAGGCCTATTTCTGTAACAGACATGGACATTGAAATTTGTAAAGAAAGACACTCTTTGTGCGAAGGGCGCTTCGAAATTGTGATGAATAAATTCAAAAACTTATTTACGAGAATTTAAGCTAGCCACGAAATAACCAAACACGAATATGGAAATATATTCCAAAACAACACATTAATGTGAATTAATCGAGTAAAGTAACACTACGTCAACACGACAAGAATCCGTCCAAATGTTTCCTAGTAACAGGTGGAAGGGTAACGTCAAAGGGTACCTATCAAGAACTAATTGGTCGCATTGTGAGAACTTGCGCTTTGACGCGTTCCACAAGGAGAAATATAGTTTACTACGCGATTTTATACGGCACCGCAATATTAGTAACGGACGTAACGTTCATCTAGTATAAACGCCTTTTTCGGAGTGATAGTGAAATTCATAAATATTCTTGTATATGTAAATTCAAACTATAACGAGCAACAACTAATTAACAATGTAAAATCAATTTCGCAATTTTCTAAAAAAACAATCATGTTTCCTTTTCCCTTTTTGCGTCGCTAATGTTTTAACTCGTTATAACTTACTTGTTCACAAGTTGACTTCGACGCTGCACTAATTAAATCGTACCACTCGCAAAAATAAAAGCTGTAGACGTATAACGAAGGGTTTTATACAGATTTTGCTGGGAAAAACACTATCAAGGCATTAGACGGGTTTGCCCCATTGTTTCATTAGGATTCCTTATGAAATGTGGAAAATGATTTAGAATGACAAATCAATAAATACAGCAGAAGTCATTATTTTTTTTTTTAATTTATTAAGGCTTTGCAAAGCCATCAGCCTAAACATGAAGTTTAATTATGTTTCTGTAAATATGGCCGCCACAAAGAGGATAGCCAATTTGAGGCGGCGTGCTTGGATTGACTCGGGATTCCTTACAGCGGGCCGATGCGGGTATTTTAGTTCGAGATTAGTATAATTTCGCATTTTAATCTTCGATTAAGGCACAATAGCACTATCCTATTCCACTTTAAACTAGATTTCACAAAATAATTGAAAGTCAAAATAAAAACGACACTTTTCCCTACAAAAGGTCCAGAGCGAATCAAGAAGTCATTAACCAGGAGGCCTACCATAACCTTTCCAAAAACAATTTTATTTAAATGAAGCTTAGAGTAAGCTTATTGTAATATTATACTCATTTTCGTACCATGACAAACCTAGCAACCAAGTAATGTATTATTGCTAAAGTGACTGAAAGAACGAATGATTTCCCAATATTGTCTATTCCTTACTAAAAGTAGGAAAGAAACAACGCTATATGAACTGTATAATGCCATCTCTTTTTTTTTTTTGATGTTCCGAATCGTGTTATCGTAGTATAATGTTAAAGTACTTAATATTATTTACATTCAAAGAATTTTAACTGACAAAAAAATAAAAATATGTAATAATGAAATCTATTAAAATTACGTTATTTTCAATTATTTTTTCATGTCATATCAATTCAGTTTATCATTTTCATGATGCTATGAATGATTGCTAAATTTGACATAAGAGCAATGTTACTTTAATGTCAAAGTCGCGTCATAGTACGAACTGAGTGAATGAATAGTCACAAAGCTGCCAATAAAACATCATAGTTTTAACATTAAAAATAAGCTTACTTTAAGCGCGTTATGGTACGAAAAGTCAATGTAAGGTTAAAGTAATATTGTTTTGATAGGTTGTGGTAGGCCCCCAGTGCTTAGTTTGCGTGGCACGTGTGCTAACAGGTTATAGTCGTGTCAATTATTTCGCGCAAAACCTCGAAAATTGTAGAAATGTGAATTATTTTGCTAATTTGTATTTGTAGTGTTAAAATGACAGTTGCTCTTGTAATATTATCTATGGTGGTGTTTCACGTCATCGTTAAGTCTTATTATATTTAATTGTAATAAATTTTCAATTTTCTGTTTATCGTAATTTTTTTTGTTACAAGAAACGAAACTAAACCTTATACCGCTGCAATATTGTCTTCTTTTTTGGAGAACTAAGTAAACAATGGAATTCATCGTTGTTAAGCGATTATCCGCTAGATGGCAGCACGTCTTAACTTGCAATAATAGGTATTGGTACTGTAAAGAACTTTCAACGATGTGCCAAGAGAGTAAAGTTTAAATTATAGTAACAATTTAGAATTTATTTATTTTTAAATTAGAAACTACCACCAATCATCATCAAGATTTCATATTGTCTCATATTATTAATGTGTGAGTTTTGGCGACTGCGGTTCTGATAGTAATCGAGTCTTAAGGCACTTTCATTGTTTTTTTCTTCCGTGATTCTGATAAATACGGGTATAGTAGTAGCTAATTTCGGTGGCATAGGTGGCAATGGTTTCGACAGGCAGGCGAAAACATGAAAGAAAATAAAGAGGGTACATGAGGTACGGAAATAAAAAAAATTTATGATTCGCTGGAGATTTAGCCGTAGCATTAGCACCGAGATATAGAAATTTTCGAGCAACTATGTTATTTTGATGAATTGCAATGCCCAAGAACTTACTAAGACGAAGTTTTCCTACTGCGAGTGGTGCCTGCAGGAACCGTGTGTTGCATGGCTGAAGGAGTTGGTAGAGAGGCGTCGCAGCTCGACATCTCGAATTCTGAACTCGCATTGCTATGATCCAACATGACAGATTCAAATTATTTAATTATTGCAATTCTTACAAATACAGATTTCAACAACCTCCAATTTACAAAAAACGATATTTACGTAGCGCCACCTGTTGTTTGAAAATTATAACAAAGTTCATAGTATTGGAGCCACTCATGTGTAGTTTGCCACTGTGATTAAAGTCGGTACCTAAGTTGTTTACTTATACTAACTCAAATAGAAAAGTAAAAAATTAACTATGGGAACACCACTTACAAGTGTGGTCCTTTTCTCTTGCGAGGGTCCTGTGGGGAGTGCGAGCCGAGGGTAAGCGGCGGCTGCGGCCCGTGGTTGGCGAGCGTGCCCGCCGTGTCGCCGCAACCGCCGCCAGCGCTCGAAGTCAACTCATACGCCTGTGCCGCGCTCGGGTTCGCTCTGAAAAGAAAAGATCTTTGAAACGGTGTGTCAAAAACTAATGAACAAAACATGTTATTTAAATGAAGGTTACAGGTTAGAATAGGACCCTGCTCTACATTTCGAGCAACCTGTATTGAGTTGATGACAGAGTAGTGAATTTATTTGTATATCCCCGTGATTTTGCCATCAACACATAGATTGTTATTTATTTTGTAGAACACGAGGATTATGCAATTTTTTCGATAGGCCGAATTTAATTAAAACGCGTACTTCAAAATGGAACCGACCTCGATCTACTATCCATATTATTCAATTAACTAACTTAACTAACTGCTACCGAACTGTTAAAAAAGGGAAGCAATTCATTTAACAACAATAAGCCCAGTCTCTTTCCCAGTAATTTATAAAAATTTTAAAATTCTGAGAGCAGATATACAGGGTGTATATTTGACACGGGGCAGCAAGGCCAGCTACCTTAATCGTTGTAGTTACAGGAAAACTACCCATAGGAAGACTACCCATGAATTTTGAAGATATAATGATTGACATTCACCGATTTTGAAAAAATGGTACAGTAAGCAAGATAAAAGACAATTTTTACAAAACCTTTTTTATGCCATTCGATCCGGTCTCTGGTGAGGATCAATAATCTCTATGTCCGAAAATGCAATAAACCTTTTACCACACATTTTATTTGAAAAGTTTTTTTTAGAAACGAAACTGGCCTCTACTCTACAAATAAGACTTAAGTAAAACCAAATTATAATCATATCACTATTTTTTAAATTTGGAACAGCTTTGTTTTGTTTTGTTAATAGAGAATTATCACTTTTAAGATGATTTTTAATCAAAATGTTCTCAAGTGTGGAAACAAATGAATAGGAACACATGGTCCTATCAAATGGCCACCGCGCAGCCCTGATCTGACGCTCCTTGATTTTTTTCTTTGGGGCTATGTAAGAAATGAAATTTTAAAAAAAACAACAGTGTTCAAGAATTGAAAGACGCACTTGCAGCAATTTTCAATGGAATCCATTCGGGTAGAATTACAGCCGCTACTTGCTCTTTGCGGAATAACTACCTAGAATAACTGATTACTAAATATGTCCCTACAAAATATATAGTAAAAAGTTTTTCCGATTTCTAACATTTCGAGTACTCTTACCTCAGTTGGTCCCATAGAGACTATTGATCCTTACTAGAGACCGGATCGTATGGCATAAAAAAAATTGCCTTTTATCTTGCTGACTGTACCATTTTTTCAATATCTGTGGATGCCAATTAAAATATCTTCAAAATTCATGGATAGTCTTCTAGAACCGTTTTCCTGTAACTACAATTGATTAAGGTAGCTGGCCTTGCTGCCCCGTCTCAAATTTACACCGTGTATGTGGTCTTTCAACAAATTACGCTTACATCGAGAGTTGCAACAAACTACAGCACAACATTACATTGATTCAAATGTTTTGGTTCTCACAGACAACAATAGAAATCAGAGGGCCTACTATGAGCTTATAAAAGTTATAAACAACTAGCCAAGTTCCATGTAATTCACGAGACGTGGTAAAACTGAATAAAATTGTTTAAATTCGTATCATGCACTACACAAAGTTGATCGGGAGTGGCATGACAGGATGATGAGTTTTACTTTTTGAACGTTAAAGCTGATATCTAAAAAGAGCGAGATGCAACTACATACTAAATTAGACGAAAGAAATAGACAGATATACTATCCTGGAAGCGTTCAAGCACTATTAACCGATTGTGTTCAAAATGAGAATATTTATATTTTTTTATTAATTTTTTTATTAATTTTATTATTAATTATACTTATTACGTTGTTTTCTAATATCGGCAACTTTTCAACCATAATTTAAAATTTGTCGTACGACAAAATTACATGTCATATCTAGTCATTATCATTGAAATTAATAAGGTGAGTTTGTGTGTGAGATTCTTAAATTTTCATAGATTGCATTATGTCAAATTTGGCACTATTTAAAAGTTATTTTACTATTTTCGCTAAGTCAATAAAATTATTAAAATGATTAAAATCCCATTTAAAAATTGCAATAACATTCATGCCAATAATTCATCAACAATACTTTAAAGATTGGAAACCCGAACTAAAATATTCAAAAACGCTCAATAGTTAATAGTATTTATTTATTGACAACCGGCTACATAGCCTAAAAATATTACAAATAATTATAAAACTGACAATATAATAAATAACACACAATAATCTTAAACGAAATTTCTTAAAAATGTAACAAAATCTAAAAAAAGGTAGTCACGGTGTAACTTTCTTTGAATTGCTTATTTTTACAGAAGAGACCGCCATTTGCATGGCAAATGGCACGTCATGATACGATTTTGCTATGCTAGAAAAGGTGAACGGGTTTCGAATGGGGAACGTAAACTGCATGAAAAGTGAATTGTTTTTGTGAGGTTATAGTACGAATTTGACAGGTAATCCAAGTTACGGGCTTAAACAGGATTGCTCTAAGAGTTCATAGTAGCCCGCTTAGAGGATGGAAAAAAGTAAAAGAAAGGAGCTGCCCTAACTACAGAATCAACGTGCATATAACCCAAATTTTAAAGTTACAAATGGCGGATTTCTTTAGTGTTGTACCATAATCTATCGATAAGTCTTTATCGACATGCTTGGCTTGAATGTTAAAACTGTTTTTTTTTTTGTTTCTTTAGTTTACTGTAACCAAAGTATGCCTAAACAAACACAAGTCTAATAATTTAATCTCGAGTGGTATATTATTATAAATGTCAACACACATTTTTAAACTTTAAAAAAAAATTATTTTCAAGATTGCAACTGGTAACTTATTTAGTAAAAGTCACCGAACCACCAATAAGTTTGTTGGCGACATGCGCATTCTTACTTAATTATACCTACTTTACTGGTATATAACATTACATAGTATTAATTGTACTTAGAAAGAAAGAAAGAAAGAAAAACGTTTATTCGCACATTTAAGTCACTTTACATCCCTAAATTATAAACATAACATTAAATTGATAGCCATTTATTAAATAATCTATAAATAAGAATGCAAAGTGACACAAAAGAGGAAAAGGAGACGACTCAGCAAAAAGTCTATCTCTGGCGAGAGAGACGCTGATTTTCAGTCGTCGTATTTTCAGTACTTACTAAATCAAATGTTAATATTACTTTAAGAGGAACCTTTAACCTATATTTTAATCCATATTTACATATCGTCTTTTAACTAACTCTCAAGTACAAGTCTATTTAGGTTTCTGCGGATTCTAGTATTCACATTACTAGCTTTCTTAAACAAATCAATCTATCAAGCAATTTTAACTGGTAACTTATTTAGTAATAGTCACCAAACTGTTATGCAGTTTCTTGGCGACATGCGCACTCTTACTTATTTATTTTTTTAACGCACACACTCAACATTGCCCTACCTATACCTACTTTACTGGTATATAACATTACATACTATTAAGTGTACTTACTAAATAAAATATAAAAATTACTTTAACGATGGCAAGGCAAGGCATATAGGCTGTCTATACGGTGGTATTGGCCTTTACCCGGCAACGTTGGACTAACATGTCATTGTATTGCAGGCTTTAAAAAAATAGTCACTTTTAATAGTTAGAGTTGTCATTGGGAAAAATCAGAAACGAGTGGATAATTTTGTTTTCAGGAAATGAGAATAACTAGTAAATGAGTCTTGTTTAATCTAAATTGAACATAAAATTATTTACCAATAAACCTAATGATGGAATAGCATTGTCATGTAATCTAGTTACATTCAAAGTTCTGTTAAAATTTGACTCTTCAAAATGAAGCGAACAAATGAAGATTGTCTTTGATCCAACGTTTATATTCGGCAGTCCTATGATTTCCAACCATTCTTTCTTCCTTTTTTCATTTGTAGGAAAACTTGAAATAATAAAAATAATAATAATAAAACAATAAAAACCTCGTAGTGAATTGTTTTAATAATAGAATATCTCAAAACACTACCTCAAAATAATCGTTAACAACAATCATCAAAATATACAAACAAACAGGCAATCTAAAGTAACAAAAGCAAAATTTGGCAAGATTTATGTATATATATATATAATAAATAAACTACTTAAATAAGTCTAATTAGATGAAATATTTGGGCTATTGTGTGATTTATAGACAATAAAAACATATGCCTGTGCAATGTAACATTCGATTGATTTGCACTTTTTGTAAAGCCACATCCCTTAATGCTGTAGCGTCGCATTTTTATTAATACCTAATTATTCTCACTGTCAATATTTTTGTCCAATTTAATTATAATACATGCGAATAATTCAATAGTACATTTGGAAAAACATTTGTTTTGACATTTGATGTACTTCCTTTGACAACGGTATCATGTACCTCATGTACTGCGAAATGGACACGGTTAGCATTTAAGATGACGTTACGTATTTTCGATTCCCGTGTTTGACACAGACCAATGTAATGCTATCTCTTTTGGCTTAAGTCGGCACGTAATAGTTAAACAAAGACAATAACATGGTTATGTTTTCGGCGTCGAAATGCATCATATACATATAACGTCTGATTTATATATGTCAACGTAACATGTCCTTTAGTTTCCATAGTCTAAGGTAGGCCCCCAGACGTAGGCCATTTTTCAATTGTTTTTTTTTCTGCTGATTTTCACAATGACTGTATTTTCTTTCGATCCAAACTTTCAGCAGCCGTATATTAAACAGCCAAAAATATATAAATAGTTCTTTGAGGACGGCGGCGCTACCACAAACAATTTAGAAAAGTCTGAAAGTTATAGTCACAGTACAATTGTATAAAAAAGTTATATGGTGTTGAAATATGATGCATTTCTCTTTTTGTGAATTTCTTGTTTTAAAATTCATAGGGCTCATTATAAGTTTCCGGAACTGGTCACTTACATAAACAATATTTAAAAAGTAATTACAACATTTGAAAATGGAACTCTTTGGCTGTAGAATATAGTTTGTTTCAT